CAGAGAGTTTGTAAGTGCGAAGTCCAGAATCTGCAAGTGTGTCCGAGGTCGTCGGGTTTTCGAGTTCGACATCCTTGTATTTCACTGCACTACGGAAGACCGTCACCTTTTCCATAAAGGTTTGCAGAGCTTGGGCGTGTGCAGTATATTTGGATGCATCCTTTGGAGCTTCGGAAGGATCAGAAGCATAGGCATCCTGCTCCTCCGCCATTTCCTCGATCCAAATGTTGACCACCTTCTCCAAATTACCAGCAGCAAGATAGCAAAGAGTGGCGTGCTTCCGCAGGAGTCGTACCTTTTCGTCTGCATCGTCTGCACCTGAACCCTTGACTAGTGATCCTTGGAACTCTAGTCGGATTCCGAGCTGTTCAACAAGACTAGAGAATTCCTCTTGGGTCGCATAGGTACAGACTATGACAAAGACTTCTTGCCATTCCTTGAGGTCTGCATTCTGTACAATGTCGGCAAGGTCGCTGCCAACAATAGAGTGATATAGTCGTAGATAGGGGAGCTTGGTGGTACTACGTTCAAAGTATTTCTGTTGGGTGTTCCGCAACAATTCAGGTCCTCCTTTCACCGCTAGAAGAATAGCATCAGCGTATCGCTCTGCAGACAGGCAGAGTTCTACGGCTGAAGCAAAGTCTCCCAGAACTAGTGCTTGTGTCACCAGCTTGTCTACGTTAGACTCATCATCAGGATAGATGCGGAAGGTATTGCTCTTGCCAATCTCGGAAGGTGTTACGGATGTTGGTGAGCCTTGTGTAGCTGCCGCTGAAGATTCACCCTTTGGATCAGAGTGTGGGATTCTCAGGTGTGGAGGGATGGCGGAAGGTGCGGCTCCCATAGAACTGAAAAAGTCTGCTTCGGCATCTCCAGTTGGAGTGCCTTCTACATCACCAAAAAGAGATGCACTGGACTTGGAAGCCAGGCTCGAAAGATCTACCTCTTCAGGTTCTATCTTGATTTGTGTTTCCTCTTCTTTGTCCTCTAGCTTTGGTGCAGTCTCTGAGGTGGGCGTTGTCTCTGTGAGAGCCTTTTGGCTGGGTATAGGAGTGGCACCTTGCAAATTCTTGATGGCTTCTGAAACCTTGGCTGCCACTTTTTCTTTCGAGAATCCCAGGAGCGCTATCAGTTGATCTCGGGATCCACTATCAAAGAGACTAGACAATGCTTTCCAGGATGCTTCCTCTTCCGGATCCGAGGCAGATTTGGCGGCCTTGTCACTTGCAAATGTGGCCAACGAAGTCGCATCTTTCGATGCCTCGGCGAAGGTCTTGGCTCGTGTTATGATAGAGTCTTCTGTGGCCACTGAGCGAAGATGAACAACGCAACTTTGGTGCTGACCGGACGCTCCTGGAAGGTTGGAAACCGTCACAAACAGCCCGCCATACCCAAAAGCCCCATTAACGGGACGTTTCATCCACTGTGGCGTTTGTTTCAGTGATAATGTAGTTTCGAGATCCAGATGATAGCTAGGAGCAAAGACGTCGTCCGTATCACTGGGACCAGGGGTAGTCCCAGCTTGTTGGTTCGTAGATTGTAGCGAGTGAATACCGATAGATCCATCGAAAGATGCCGTTGCTAGAATCTCGGGGTCACGAGGACACCATTCTACCTGGTAAGCCCAGTTGGATGCTGCGGGAAGCTGTCGAGTGGGTCAGTTGCCAGAGTCGACACAGCTCAATCAGAACAGACCTCTCCAATTATTTCAGCACTTTGTGGGTTCCATACAATCGTTCTACTATCTTTACCACAAGAGAGCAATAGGTCTGCATCTTGTTTGCACCATGATAGAGATAAGATTCCTTTCTCGTGACCATTTAGAACCTATCTCAAGTCACTTTGGAGTTCAAAAGAAATCCATGAATGAAAACGCCTGACCTTCTCTGGGGCTCTGGCATTGCGCAAATCCCATAGCATAATGATTGGTGAAGCGTCGTCCTCAGACGCAGTGACGAGTCTGGTTGACTAAGAATTGCTCAGCCAAGTCGTGTAGATGAAAATTTATTCTTACATTGTTAGGGTGCCATGCCACAGCACTTTGTCCACGGCGGCTACTTTGCATTGGTCCTCCTCCGGCTGAGTACGAGAGGGCGACAACTTCACGTTTTCCACGCAGATCCCAGACAACAGTGTACCCTGTGCTGCTAGATGTAGCCAAGATTTGTTGAGCGCTGCTATTCCAGGACAGGGCAGTGATTTCGTCCAAGCGACTACTGCGTCCACCCGGGGAATAAGGGGATGAAGGATCTTTCAAATCCCAAACGAAGATCTTGAATATCGCAACGCTATTTCAGTAAAATGACGTAGCCACAATCAATGACATACTTGTCCATTCGTAGCTCCCGAAGCAAGCAAGTTTTTGGCGATTGGATTAAAGTCAAGACCACGGACAGCCCCATCATGAGCTTTGGTCTTATGGATTGTTGCATCTGCCACGCTGTTTGCAGGTTAAGCAAAGTTAGAGCCACGTCTGCAAAAGATGACCACCGATGCTCACTCCGCTCCCGCAACGATTTTCTCTGGATCCCAAAGTCCTAACTCTCCGCTCTCCATACCAGCAGCAAGTACTCCTTGTGGTCTTGACGCGTCAACAGCTCCCCACGCGAGTCGATTGAATCTATGAAATAATTGAGTGACATGTCGACAGGACGTGGCGTATGTTCTACCTGGATGCTATTGTTATAGAATGATTAGCTTGTGCATGTCCTTCACCTCCTAGGTGGTATTCGTCACGATTGAGATAGTCTGGACACCATATCTCCAGGCGGGAATCATTCGAGAAGGACTCATCAAGGGCTCCAGCAACGGTTCCCGTAGCCAGTACAGGAATAGCAGATGCTGGAGACCACGCAAAAGCGGAAGTGCGGTGGATCTCCTTGAGTTTCATGACGAAGACGTGTCGAAGTTAGGTTCAGGTGGCTTGTCACGTAGCTCTCCATTAACTTTATTTGGTCACGCCAACCCATCTAGATGCCGGATATAACAGTTGGAAATCTGGAGGTACTTTGAGTTGATAGTTTATCCAAGTTTTGGTTGAACACCTCACTGACAACATTTCATGCTTCTCTCGCGGACTAGGTTGTCACATGGATACTGTACAAGAAGATCTCATGGAAATGGCTTCCTAATCCTCTCTAAAGAAGATCAGACTCGTTTAACACGATTTTGGCATTCCAGTGGTGAAATGCACATGCCCGAGATCTAGCAAGTTTGTCAACAACTATACACTTGTTGCAGAGACGTTTTCTTATGTCGAAATCACGACTTCTTTTCTTTCGGCTCTTTATCGACGGCAGAACTCGTACGCAAACAGCGTGATGACTATTCACCATTCTACTGTGGCTCGGCGTTCTGCATGGACCCCCGCTAGCGAGCTGTCTCGGAAATGCCAAAACTAGGATAAATAAACTACTCCAATGGACAGTTAGGGCTCGCCGGAGGTACAAGGACGAGTCGCGACCGGCAATCGTAAGCGACGCTCGACAACCATCCATCAATTTCCTATTTCAACGACGGAGAGAAGCCCAATATCCCTGTTAACAACCTTGACATACCCCGCACATAGTTGCTTCCATTCCCAGCTATGGTTGCTGACCACGCAGACATGCTCTCACCACGGCCACACGACGGCGAGCTTGGCACCTATCAACCCCCAGGGCAGTGCCCGCTAGTGCAAATACCTGGATCAATCCGTTCTGAGCCCGTCTATTCATGCTGTATATGATGGCAACGCGGTTGAGATCAGCCCACAAAACGAGATTTTGGCTCTTCCTAAATTCTTAGACGGGCGTACCTCTACTTTAAAAGAGGTGAGCCCTTGATATCACTCTCATATTTTTTTCCTCTCAAAACAACACACCTTTAACCCTTATACC